AAATAAATAAATAAACAAAAAAATTAAAATAAAATAAAAAAGACCACTCCTTATGCAAAATCGTACAAAATATAAAAATAGACTAACAAAAGTTTGCAAAGGATACGTTTCCATATTCTAAAAATTTTTTAAAGAATGAATATTTTTCGCAACTGAAACAAATTATTTTTTGCCCTGATAATATACATATAAAAAAATAGGTTTCAACGTTGTTCAGGGACATAAAATGATAGTGAAAAAGGTGAGGCAATATTTTTTCATACATAATATTTAACTCATATTCATCTTGGATTTTATCAAGCAGAAGATCTGTAAATCAAACGAATTTAGTACTAAATTTATATATTTTGAGCTAAATTTTATGGTTGACCAAAGCCAGAAACGTATGTATTCTCAGACACGTACAGTTTCAAAATTTAAAATTTAATGGTTCTATTGAAGTATAAAATTATTTTTTTACGATTGATACAAGAAAATCAAATATAAATATTTTTGATGCCCTATGTGTATGTACATCTGAGCCTCTATGTATAGGTTTTTATTTTACAAGAATCTCGATATTCTACAAATATTTTAATTTACTGGGAATTTGCTCGGATAATTTTCTAGAAGCTTCTCAAACAAGCTCATACTTCATTTATCTTAGTTCAAAATTGTTATTCGTCAGTTTTTTGAAACAGACAAATCGTCTTTTAAAGTTTTAGTAGAAACATTTTTTTTTCACACTACCTATAAAATTTTCTCGAAAATGTCGTGGTAGTGCCAGTTAATGTATACAATGCAGGTTATAAATACAGTGCATACAAAATATATTTTTGAGAAAAATAAAATAAAACAATAATAGAAAAAAGTTACTTGAAAACTACAATTGAAATAAAACTGCATTAAAAGTTCATCTTTAGATCTCTTTGTATATTGAATCTCAAAGAAATCATCACACATCTATTACATGAAAAAACTATCCCTTACTTTACTTTACTTTATATCATATAAAAAAAATTGATCTTATCTAATTCGAGTCTAACTGATGTAAATATGTATTTACATCAAAGTGCAAATACACTATATGATAAAATAATGACAAAACGTAATGTCAACTAAACGAATCGAGAGGTATAAAAATACAAAGTATCTAATTTTTATCGAATGACTAAACAAATAATTGGATAGTTGTACTGTAAGCAGCTGCGATAGTATGATTACTGAATGCGCTCGTTCGTGAATGATATATCTTTGTACAGCTTAAAGGGTATGGGAAAAAAATTTTAACGAAAGTCCACCGGTATAGGCGGTATATAACTTGTATATAAAAAATCATCTTACGCTATATTTGTTCATGCATATTAACGATGACTTTGGTAAAAAAAAAAAAAAATGTAACAGAAACAATTTTTCGTACATGTCGTTTTTATTTCACATATTAACTTAAGAAGCGCTTTAAAACAGATTTTACGATTAACTGTTGAAAACACAAGAAAAAAGTTTGAGAATTTTTCACAAGTGTGGCCAATTTAAATGTCACAGATAAAAACTAGTAAAAATTTCGAAATTACAGGTAGGTGAAATTACACTAGTGACAGTGAAACATCAAACGAGATATCAAACGAAAATATTTTCTGCTACGGTCATACTTTACATTTACATTTGTTATAAAAGCCTTTCAGGACTTGATAAAGCTTATTTTCAAATCACAACATTTACATATGCTCAGTGAAAACAAAAGGTCGATGGTGGTGTTAGTGCCTAAGACGTGTGACTGGAGATGCAACACTTTTAAATAAAATTGAAAAACAAAAAAAAAGAGAGTGCCAAAGTTTACTCAAACAAATCTCATCTAGATTAAATTCTTATCAACTTCTTGAAGTTAAAAATTAAAATATTTTTTAACTACTCTGTCCTGACGTACGTACTTACAAAGTCCAATATTTTATCAAATTAAATTTTTAACTACTCAAAGTTGTGAAAAAAAGAAAATCAGTTACAATATATCATAATCTTATGAAAATCTATGCGTACCAATTAAAAGAAGTAAATTAAAAATTGAAATTTATCTGCCAGATTTCTATTATCAAAATATGATTGAAAACTGCCTGTTTTAATGTAAAGTTCTTTTCTGAACTTTTTGTACTTAGTGTATATTTGTATTATTAAAATGAAAACAAATCAATCGAACTTGCAATAAATTTAATTATAGTCAATATGTAAAATTTACTTGTCGATAAACCTTTATTTCTCTTAGTAAATATATTTTTAAAAAAAGGTAAAATAAAAAAACCGTATTCTTTTTACGTATTAAAGTCCGGACGCTCCTTCATATACTGCAGAGTTTGTGTCAAACTGCACTTCATCAGATGAACCTCTGCCAAAAAGAGAGTACTCAAAAAATCATAGAAGTAATAAATAAAAATTTGTCCATAAACAGAGCTGCTGTGTGTGTGTGTGTGTGTGTGTTATACGTAGTATATTGTACGAAATGAAGGGTGTACGGAAAGCGCGAAGATAAACACGAAAAAAGATGTATAATTTTCGAGTCTTACTTAAAATGTAGAGAGAAACACATAAAAAAAATATTTTTTTATCTAAAACTACTTTGTTATAAAATGAGAAATGCGTAAGGACGTCGCCTTATGAACTTCTGAATCTTGATTATCAGAGGAATATTACCGCTAGAAGAATACGAGTGTCGATTTTGTTTAATGGTAGAAAAAGTACACATTTTCCCAAGTTTGACTGTTAATCATTTTTTTTTTTTTTTTCATAAATTTTATAAAAAGATATATGAAATTAAAACTAATGACTTTTGTGTGTCTATAAAATTTTTTTACTTCGAATCTGAGATGCATGATTATATTTTTACTTGCATGAAAAAAAGATCTTTCGACTCTATTAGTTAATCGATTGACTCAAGTGAATTGATATAAGTCTGTCGTTAAATATAAAAATATACTAACAACAAATATTGTAAACGTAATTCTTTTACTAGTAAATTGGTCGACTAGTACAAAATTCGCTATTACTAGTGACAAAAAAAAGAGAAAAAAAATTGATAAATGAAAAACAAAAAGTGTACTGATTACATGTTTCAAATATGGACCAAGTGCAGAATGGGATCGTACCGTGTGTGTACAATCGTATTGTGCATAGCAGAGTTTAAAAAACAAATTGTACTCACTAGTTCGAGAATTTAAAAGCAAAAAAGCAGTATTTGAACTAAATGTTGGGAAAATAATTAATCATGAGAGAGAGAGAGAGAGAGAGAGAGAGAGAGAGAGAGAGAGAGAGAGAGATCAAGAGATGAGAAACAATCGATATACTTTAACAAAAGTAAAAATGAAAATAAAATGTATTTTAATAATTCGAACTATACACGTGTATCATATAGGCACATTTATGTACATGTTTACATGTATATATACGTCTTTAATGATTGCTATGGAAAGAAAAGAATTGTCAAGTATTCTAATGTTGGTACATGTGTACTTTGAGAGAAAAACCACCAATTGATTGTTAAAAAAAAAAAAAAGTGCAGAAAATACAAAAATAAACGTTGTACAAGTACTCAGCTTGCTACACAGTTTAAAAACTAAAAAAAAATCTTATCAAAATAGAGAGTTAATTAACGATAAAGATGGTAACAAGTCCTCCTAGTTATTGTGATAGTAATGAAAGCGTGACTGGAGTGAAATTTATGCGATGGCATATTGTTTACTGTAACAAAAGAAGATAACCTAAGAACTTTTATTTTTTTTTTTTTTTAATAAAAATAAGAATATTTACTTAGATGATTTACACACAAAATCTTGAAATAGTGTTATGGACCCGCAATGTACGTTTTCTAATATGTTACTGTGTATGAGTTTTTAATAATTTTAAAGATGATTTGTTATTTTAAATTATCGTTCTCTACTGAAATAAATCATTTGTATTTTTACATTATTTCTATACCTATTAATACTATTATATGTTTTTTATAAGTATTACAATACGATTTTATTTTGAAAAGATGGTACGTTGGATTTCATTGTTATATCGAAAAGTGTAGAAAAATATTGTAAATAATCATTATAGTTAACATAACAGTATTATGAGTAATAAAAATAGAGGAAAACGAGCCTGTCAGTAAAATAGTCTGTGCTTTGGATTAGATAGATGAAGAAAGAAAAATAAATATTTTAATTGCTCTTTAAAAATGTTTATTTCATTCGTATTTTCCTTTTATTAAATCAATTTGTTAAAAAACGCTTATTTCATTCAAGCTTACAAATCAACTAAAATTATGTCAGGTACAGTGAAGGTGGGAAGCTCGTTATGTTGTTAAAGCAGTAAAATTAAAAAACGTGGGAAATTTTTCGCCTCACCCAAACATGTCCTTATAAGTACTTACCAGCAAAACTCATTTATTTCTTGGCTCCTAAAGACGGTATACTTTACTCTAAGCTGTTAAAAATTTAAATAATTGTCGAAAAAATAAATTTTTTTGGATACAATTTTTGGTGAGTCGACAAACTAAATCATACGAGTTTTTGTTGCTTAAATATACAAAATAAGTATCTCTATCCACGGAAAGTAACGTTTTTTGTCATTTACACATTTTAACATCGCTGCTCTTGGAAAATTGAGAAAATTGTTTTTTATGGGATTGTCAATTAATAAAAATAATTTTAAAGTAAAAAAACGAGTAGTACATCTCTATTCAAACCGAATGAAAAAATTTTCATTTCAAGACCGCATTAAAATGCAAGACTGGAAACGTTTAGTCAAAGCAACAGTAAGAAAGTAGGCCATTTGGTAAATTTATAAAAAAAGCAATACAATAATTTTAAAACAGTTAAATTAACATAAGTTTTTTTTATATAGCTATCACGTTAGCTCTTAAAGTTTTCTATACTTGATTATATCCGAAAAAATTCAATTTTGAGAAATTCTATTGCACACACATATTTCGTGCAATAACTCATGTATTAAATGTTATTGTTTTTATTTGGTTTGCAGATAAAATTTAAATAATGCTTGAATATAATGAAAGTAAAACTTTGTTATTTTCAATTTCAGTACACATTTATAACGTTTAAACTTCCCGCCCTTGGACTCAATTTTTAACATTTTCCGATGAATTCAATTCCCTTGAGTATATCATTTAATCCGTTAAGGATAAGCTGTTAGCTAACTTTACCAATGTGAATTTATTTAATTTATTTGATGGTCCAAGTACAGTTCCAATGCATTCGAAAACAACAATTTTGTTACAGTAAAAGTAAATTGTCAACTGATAAATCGTTAAATTAAACTCAAAAAGTTTTTTTAATCAAATAATGGCTTCACCAAGAGCAGCTTTTTCTGTTTTACAACACTTGTCTCCCAGGAGGATACAACAGGTGTCCAGCATCAGGTTTAAAAACATTCTTGAAACATCAACAGGTTGTATTTTCAAGTATGATGTATTTATGGGTGTGTGTTTTGTTTGAAAAACCAGACAAGCTTTGAGTCCGAAATGTCCCAAGACACCAGTGCGCAATACTCTGACGGTGGACAGTGTTTTTCAAAATCATCCATCCCCGCGGTTCAACATCGACACACCAAATAGAAAAAAAATAATCAACGAGGGCTTACTGGGTGGGCAGCAAACCGTGCTTGGGCACGGGGCTTTTGGCACAGTGTATAAGGCGAGTTATAAAGGTAGTTGTTGAATGATCAAACAAAAGTGTAAATATTTTGCGTATTATTTAGTGTATGTATGATGAATGAAGGTGAAGATGTTGCTGCCAAGGTGATTAAAAGTAACAACAATACCAAGAAGTGCTCTAAAAACATGGAAAGGGAAGCTGTGAGTTTGAGACATTTGAACGTAGTGAAAGTTCTGATGGTTCACGAGGGTCCAGCTTTGACATTGATCACAATGGAATTGTGTAGTAAATCTTTGGATGACATGCTCGAGGACCATTCTATTGCCAAGGAGAAAAGAATTTATATTTGGGAATCGATAGCAGAGGCACTCAAGTACTGTCACAGTAAGGGTGTTGTGCACGCTGATGTTAAGCCAAAAAATGTATTAATGGGTACGGATGATCAGCCTAAATTGGCTGACTTTGGGAGTGCAGTTATTGTCCATGAGTCTGACACTCCGTTAACTTTTCATGTGAGTTAAAGAAAAAATAATAATAAAAAAACTGAAGTGTAAGAGAAAAATTTTTAGGGAACACCAGGGTATGCTGCCCCAGAAATCGTACGTGGAAATCTACCTACTCCCTTGTCTGACATCTACTCATTGGGAATCCTAGCTTGGCAAATGCTCTCAAGAACTGCACCGTTTGCAGATTTACACAAACACACTATTCTTTATCTCACTGGTAAAGGCACAACACCTCCAGATAGCGATCTTGATGATGATTTTAATGGAAAGTACAAGGATTTGTACAAAAAGTGTTGGAACAAGATGCCAGAAAATAGACCTAGTCTCGATGTAATTACTAAGAAATTAAAAGAATTATAATTTATACTAATTCAAGGTGTTATTAAATAAATTACGTTGTTACCTTAAATCTTGTCATTTATTTGTAAACTTACATGTTACGGCTTATGATAAGTATAAAAAATACCTTTGTGTTAAATCATACTGTACTCAGATTTCGGGCATCTCTCCACCAGGTACCAACTGCAACCAAAACAAACAACCCCACTTAGTAAAGTACAAAGGTTACTTATTCTGAAACCATGTTTAAACAATAGAATTTGTAAATGTTAAGTAGTTAGGCTCACCATTGTGATGTTATTCCCATTGAGTAGTATCTGTTCTAGTTTTGTTATCCTCCTTCCCTCTGGAGTAGCTTCACATTCTGTCACATCATCCAAAAGCATGTTTACAAAGTCATCGAACCCCTTTAAAGTTCCAACTATTTCCTTTTCATTTTTCATTATAATATGTATCCTTGATCCGATGCATTTGTCCACCAATTCTGTGAAAAACATGAGGATAACACTATTGTTGATACACGTTCAAGAACTTATAAGTATTGATCTATACTTAATAAACATTGTTTTTATACCTAAAGGTAGTAGAGTAGATGGATTTGTAGTTACGCTGCTTGGTATGGGGTTTGACATTTTCAAAAAATTTTCGAAAACAGCTAAGTTAAATGGTGTTTTGTATTTTATTTTTCTTACTGCAGGAGTTTTCGATCAAAATGTATACACCGGGTGACTTAATTAATAGTGAAGAATACAATATATTATGTACATATATAAAATACAAGTAAGGTATAGGGTTAGATGAACTCACATGGCAGTGATGCAGCACGGCATTTGAAAATCAAAACAAAATTAATTGAAGATCAGCGCCATCTAGCATGCGCAATAAGTATCAATGACATTGGTTCAATGTCATATTTGATCATACATCTATATATATATACAAATCAAAATTTTTAAGGGTCAAATGGTCAATCGTCAATGCATTGTGCGCACGAGCGCGCGCGCGCGCAGATCATCGGAATAGTAGGGATCTTGTTTACCTATGGTTGACTGTCGGTAAGCAGGGATCAATGCTGGAGTTACCGATTTTTCACAGTAGGTAAATTTTGAAAATGAAATCCCTACTGTACTTACTAACGACGAAGCATGTGCGCATTTTCTTTTACCATCAACGAGACAAAAGTAAAAACTTTACAGCCTCTGATTTTATCATTCTGGTAAAGAGAGCACGGTGCAAAAAGTACGTGAAGTTATGTGTAGTAATTAAAGTAATTTTACTACTAAGTAATGCCATTTGGTCGATTTTATTAAACCATTTGAATTTCTATATTTTTGGAGGTCGACTTTTGGGTGGAAAATAGATTGTAAACTTGCCGCAAACAGCACAAACTACGTTAACTTTTTATTATCAATTTAGAATATTAGTTGCGGCTGGTTTATAATTTATTAAATGGATCTAATACAAGAAGTAATAATTATTTGGATCAGCGCCATCTAGCGTTGCGAATTTCTGAACTAAAAAGTGGCCCTAAACTTTTGAACCAGAGCTTTAGTGCGTAGAGCCATTTAGTTAATTATAAACCAGCCGCAACTCATGATGAAGCTATAAAATAAAAAAAAACGATACTTACATGTGTTTTTGGCGGCAAGTTAACAATCTATTTTCTACCAAAAATCGACCTCCTATGTGTTTATACTTTTGAAGATGAAATTTCAAGCATGAGATGGATTGTTAACTTACCGCCAAAAACACATATACCGTTGTTTTTTTATTTTATAGCTTTATCATGAGTTGCGGCTGGTTTATAATTGACTAAATGGCTCTAATCCTGAATGCTCTGATTTAGAATTTTAGGGGCCACTTTTGGCCAAAAAATAAAGACCGCTAGATGGCGCTGATCCAAAATAATTATTGCGCAATTTAGCGCTTTAAATGCCGTGTGTTATCACTGCCATGTGAGATTTAACCTGAATTAACACGTGTTGGGTCATTAGGCAGTCTGCAGACTGGCAGAATCGCGCTAAGTTTAAATTATGTTTAAATTATAACATCTCAGAATAATTTAGTAAAATAAAGAAAAAATTGTAATTATTGTTATAACCGAATAAAGGCTTAGTTACAATCAATTTCATTAACAAAAAAACGTGTCAAATATTATTTTATAACTTTTTTTATAGATTTATGTTAACATCGCACAGTCAGTCAGTAGGGTCACTGATGTAACCTGGTATGTATAACAATATGTAAGTGTGACAAAACGTTTTTCGTCGCCTTTTTTTTTCGTAAATATTAGTTAATACAGAAATGCAAATGTATTACGATAATTATTTCTTTGCTTACGTAACAGGTTTTAAATATTAGTATTGAAACATATTTTAAACTTAGCGCGATTCTGCCAGTCTGCAGACTGCCAGACTCCATGTAATCTCACCCTCAGGGCCTCAGAGCGCTTCAGCGCTGCAGCCAAACGCATGCGCGCTAACTCAAAACGAACGCTCGTTGCCTTGGTGCGCTCGTGCGCTCGTGCGTTTCGTCAGAGATTAGAAGTCTAGTCTACTCATCTCTGAGTCTAGTCTCTGGTTTCGTTTCCCTCCCGCTTCAGTAGACGCCCAGGCGAGAGCACTGGTGCGAACTTTACTTCACGTGGACATACTTCATTTAAAAAAGTAGCGTTTTTCTTTAAAATTCCTAACCTTATATCCACGTAATTACGTGGATTTGGTGCGAATAGACACAGCGATTAAAAATGGCAAAGTTCAAGCTCAGTAAGTACTTGTATGTTTAATTGATTAGTTCTTATGTATCGCTTGATAATTGTATTTTCTGCATTGTTGAAAGGCATATATGACAGTTTTTGTGGAACATAATGTTATTATTTACAGACAAACCGAGCAAGAGGATGCCAGCTCGCAAAAGGTACAAGATAGAGAAAAAAGTAAGGGAACACAACAGAAAAATGCGCAAAGAGGCTAAGAAACATCCCAAGAGTGAGTTTGGTCAAAAGAAATTCTTACCTTTCACATTAGTGTTGCTAAACTGGTAATTGCAAAATTTACAGAACAAAAGGTGATTCAAGTGCCCAATCAGTGTCCATTCAAGGAGGATATACTGAAGGAAGTGGAAGCATTTAAGAAACAGAAGGAGGAAGAAAGATTGAAGAGGAAAGAGGAAGCAAAACAAAAAAAACATGAAGAGCTCGCCAAAGCTGGACTGGAAGGCATGGTTAATCAAGCTGAGACCAAACAAAAAGAGCATGAAGCCATGGAAACAGGAGTGGCAAGTAAAAACACTGATCAGCTAAACAAGAAAGAAGAGCACTCTCTCAAGGCATACTACAAGGAATTCAAAAAAGTCCTCGACGATGCTGATGTCATTCTTGAGGTTGTCGATGCTAGAGATCCTTTGGGGACTAGGTGCAAGCAAGTGGAGGAGTCGGTCCTAGCTGCCAAAGACAAGAGGCTTGTGATTGTCCTAAACAAGGCGGATCTCGTACCCAGAGAGAACTTGGATGCATGGCTCAAGTACTTAAGGAGGAGTCTACCAGCAGTTCCCTTCAAATCGTCTACTCAGAGTCAGTCCAGAAGATTGGGCAGGAGGAAACTCGGGCGCAAGAAGGAAGAGAACATTCAGGGTAATACCTGCTTTGGGGCTGAGCTGTTGCTTTCGCTTCTTGGCAACTATTGTAGAAGCACAGCCGGCACTAAGGCTAGTATTCGCGTGGGAGTTGTGGGCCTACCAAATGTTGGTAAATCCAGTGTCATCAACTCGTTGAAAAGAAGTAAGGCTTGCAACATAGGAAACACACCAGGTAACTATTGATGGTCTCTAAAGTATTTGGTTTTTTTCTAAACCTTCCAATCTAACGATTTCACTCTAATATTACAGGCGTCACAAAGCAAATGCAAGTAGTGCAACTCGATTCGAAAATAAAGCTTTTGGATTCACCTGGCATAGTGTTTGAAAGTTCGAAAGATGCTGATCCGTCAGCGGTTGCTCTCAAAAATGCAGTAAAGATTGAATCTTTGCGAGATCCATTTACTCCTGCAAGTACCATCTTGAAGCGAATCTCGACTCATGAACTGATGGAATTGTACGATGTGACTGAGTTCGCGTCACCAGAGGAGTTTTTCGCTAAAAAAGCCGCTAGAATGGGAAAGTTTAGGAAGGGTGGCATTCCTGATTCACTAGCTGCTGCTCGAAGCATTCTAACTGATTGGAATTCCGGCAAAATTAGGTGAAACATGCTTTGTTCAATATTTACAAGATTGTTTAAGACAGATATTGTCAAGTTAAATTTTCAACCTTGCAGATATTACACTGTCCCACCAGAAGACACAGCTACGTGCCACGTGTCTGCGAAAATTGTGAACTCAACGGTAGAAGAATTTGACTTTGAAAAACTAGCAGATGAGGAGAAAATGCTCCTTGACAATTTAGAGGCTGAAAATGAATCTGAACTTCAGCCATTACAAATAAGTAGCAGTGGCCCTGTTGAATTGTCAATGGAGGTAGAGGAAAAAACAGAATCTGTAAGTACATGTTAAAGTAGAGAGTAAATTTTGGAAAATTTTATTGTAAAAGTTAAGTCTAATACCCAAATAAAAACTCAATGTTTAGGAAGTTAAAGTTCAAGGCAAAAAGGGAAAGAAGCGGAAGGCACAAGAAAACAATAAAACTTCTCAAAGAAAGAAGAAAGTTGACCCTGTATTTGAATTGGAAGGAAATCAGCAACTAAATAGAATAAAGAAAATGCAATTTAAAAAACAAAAAAAGGAAGCTGGACGAAGAGGTTTGTCTGTCACTTGTAAATTAAGGTCATGAGTTAATAGTAGTTCATTTTGTAATTTGAAATAAATTCTATTTTAGCAAGAGAAGCCACAGCCCTAGCTGGCGTCTTAGATGGCGTAAATCTGAAGACAACGAATGACAATTATGATTTCAAAACCGACTTTTCCCTGAAATAACTGAATTTTTCATTCACTTGGGCTGTTGTTATTGAATTTCACAAATTATCATCCTAGTTGTTCTGTGTAAATAATAATTTTCTAATAAAAATTACATACAAAAAAATGTATTTGTATTAGTGTATATTGTTTACAACGAAGTTAAAATGAATCTATATCTTTTATTCCTTTCTATAAAGTGTACATAAAAAAATTTCATGTAAAATTAATTCCTGGATGATTTGTATGAACAATCGGATTTAATAAACAAATTCAATATTTGAAAGGCAATGTTATTCAAAAACTTATTTAATAACCTCTCTTAAGCTCAATAAATTAACAATTTTACATATTCATTGTAATAACTTGTTTACTAGGACGTTGACCATTGCAGTCGTGCCAATGATATTATATTCACATAAAATTAATTGAATAATTCGTATTGCATTAAAATAAGTAATCGCTTATTGTTTTAACTTATGTTTTAGTACACGAAAGTGTATTCCTTACACAAATCGCTGTTCATCTGTGAAATTTGAAAAAATTATCGAAATAATATATAGAGATTCAGTGTAACAATAAAATAAAAAGTCAATCAATATACATGAACATAAATATATTTCACCAAAATTAAGCTCGCAAATGGGTTTGAGTAAGTAAAATAATTTTCCCACTTTTCCTACCTTTTTTTAAATAAATGGCCAAACTCATGCCAGTAGTATATAAAAAACATGTCTACCTTCTTTTTTGTTCGTTGTAATAAATTTGACGTATAATATACTTAAATTTTATTTTTAATTATTTAAATGCGTTACTTATTCTGTTTTATTATTGTTACAATAATACAAAAAAACTAGAGGTTCGAGTATTTTATGTTTAATTCATAAAAAATAATACAAAATTTTATTTATACAATTTTCGAATCAATTTTTATATTTCCAAGAGTACTTACAGTATTCAAAAATCGGGGTGATACGTAAGTGTCAAGTGTAATAATTTTTATTGTTAAAAATTTTTTACCAAACGTAAGATAAAAAATCTCGCAGGAGTTCTTACGAAAATTCTTATTAAAAAATATTTGACAGGTATAAAGGTCAATAATTGTCAGCTTCTTTATTAATTTACAGCTTGAATAAATTCACAATAATTTTATTTCATGTACGATCACGTCTTAATGAGCAGTGCCGTCACTGTTTTAAATTATACGTGACTCCGCAGAGCACAGTCATTTGGGCTTTCCACTCGCGAAAGAGCAGCACACGTTAAAGCTAATTTTGTATACGCTGGTGTCATTTGTCTTTTTTTTTTTTTCGTGGATGAAGCAACTGTCCAAGATTTGTTGTACCAGCGAAGCTTCTTCAGATACAGTTAAGACTGCCACGTGTGCACACGGGGTCTTTAGTTTTCACAACGATTTTTCATTCGTGACTCAGTAATTGTTAATATTATTGTGATTATTCATTTGATCAAAGATCTTCTTCAATCGTAAGGTAAATACCAAGTTAGTATATTATACACGTTTTATGTGACATATACTCCCTTTTGTGTCACCAATTTATAAATCTCAATTATTTTAATTTTCTCAATATTTTCAATTAATATCAAGAAACGTGTATGCGTAAGCATCACATTTAATGTTCCATTGGGGAATAAATTAATACAAATTTCTAAATCCTTGAAATAAGTGTTCTATGTAGTAATCAATTAATAAAGTTCATGTTAAATTATTTCGAACAATCAACTCGTTCACAGATAATTTTTAATTTTCTGACACCAGATTTTTAGTGATTTAGTGCTCGCGTTTTTATGTCTTAATCGAAAATTTTATGACTGATGATGTTGCAAATTGGTCAAGGCAAGAAATCATTGTTATCTGGATATTTAAAAATCATTTTGTATGGATCTGAGTTTTTTTAAAATTGTACAGCAACACACGGCTTGTATATTTTTATTTTAAGAAGTGACTAATATATATATATATATATATATATATAATGCTTTCACAATCATCAACTCTTGTTTTAACTTGCGTACGAAGTTTCACGAAGTACAAATAATACTATCTTTACGCGGTATAAAATAAAAATTTTTATGCACTCTCGCAATCTTGATTTTACGCAATCGAATTGCGTACGTCGATATTTCTCTTTCCAGTAGATAATTCATTTGTGAACCGAAAGACGAACGTGTCATTGAAGTTTTGTGTCGAAAATTCGTTATTAACGTTTTTTTTTCGATAAGGTATTTATCTTATACATCTTTAAATTCATCCATAGTATGGAATTTATTATATGTTAAAGCACTATTTGAAAGAGGTAACTGTATGGCTATTAAAAAAAATCATTATTCTTACACTCTGCCTCTCCAAAATAAATGAAAAAGCTATGCTCTATATTATTAATGAATTTAGTTAGGATTCGGAATTTTACATTTAATTAAAGCGTACGTCATGGTTGACGTACTATTATGTAACATCTGATGTTCAAAAAAAGTAAACTGTTGTAAAATAATGTAATAATTAGGGTTATATTAAAAAAAAAAAAAAAAAAAACGAATGGCAAAGTATTAAAAAAACATAAAGCACTTTATATTGCTACAAGCACTATTTTCTCTCAAGTCATTCAAGCACGTGCTCTCCGATAAGTACATGTCAACCCATTGAGCGTATCCGTTTACTATAATGCAAGCTAAGTAATTGTGGTTCAATTGCGTGCTATTACACACATATACATGAATTGCGTGATATATGTTACATTGACAGTCGTCAAGGTACAAAGTGGAATTGCAATGCATATCATCTGTTATTACAACGTTAATTGGAGTATTACGTTTGTCACAAGTCACGTGGGCCCTTATTATCTTTACAATTTAGAGAAATAAAATTCAAAAGTCATGATAACTTGAATAAAAAAAAAGATTATCACTATCAATTTTCTACATGCGTCATTACCTCTGTTATATTTAATCACTCTTATCAAGTCACACTCAGGGATTTACATACACGTAAATCAAGAGATAATGAGTGCAAAAGGGGGGCAAGATATCAGATAACATGTGTATGCACTATTTTATTTAACAGTTTCCAATATTATACCGTATCTCTGGGACAATAGTATAAAATTAATGAATTATCAACAAATTTCAGCTATTGTTTGACTCGTTTTGTCCAATATTTTTGTATTCAATTATGTGAGTTTTTTTATTCAATTAGTGAATTTCCAGTGGGTACTGAATTCGAGTAAATATCGAGATCAATATGTTAGTAAAATACGTTTCAATAAGTGTCATAAATACTTTTAATTAGACATCATACCCGATTGCACGATAATTTTGTCATCAATGTATAAATGTATTAAAAAATATGAATAAAGTGTATATGGACGTATTTATTTGGGTATGAAAATCCCAATATTGTATTTATTTTTTTCTGAAAATGAGTCATTTTACAGTGCGGTCAAAATAAAATTTTTTTTTCAAGCTGACTCAAATGGGAATAACTTATGAAGTTTTCAGTTGAATTCGATAGGCTCGTAAATAAACAAATAATCATCTTTTGATGAATAATAGAAAAAAAATAATGTAAAAACTAACGTAACAGCTTACTTATTATATAATCTGAATCAACCTTTCTTTACTTCTTTTTGTTAGTCTAAATCAGATTGGAAAAATTTTAGGTTTGAAAAAGACTTTAAATTTTCTAATTGCCAGTGGGAGTAATTTTTATAATTACTTAACTAACTGAGTCGTTGCTAAACTGCAACAAAGCGTTAATTAAAAATTTTGTCCAAAAAGACCTTAGCACGAATTCTATCCAATAAGATATCTTAAAAATTTCTAGTTTGACAATTTTTCACTTAATCCAAGATTATCTAGTTTGCTTAGTACCATTTGAAAAATATCTTCTTCTTTATATAAATATCAATATAAAAACTCGTCAAAACAATTTATATGATCGTAAATACTCTACAACTATGGACAATGATATAATAATCCTGTGGCATTAGAGTTTCTAATGAAAATTTTCATAAATAATAATTAATTTAATACTATTACATAATTAACTTCAAACTAATCATCCCCCGAGTTATAAGCTTATACTCTCCAATACATATGAATTAAAATAGTATTTATTTATACAGAGTTTTAAAAATGGTGCATTTCAAACGTCCGCCTGGCCCATTGAATGTCTGGAATGTAGTTGACGGATTTGAGGTGCTTGAGGATGGAACAAAGAAACCTGTCAAGTTTTCCATTCAAGAAGTCCCAAACACTCCCGAGCACAGACAAGAAGTCATCAATCTCCTGTGCGATCATTTTTTGGATGACGAGGCAATGTGCAGATGTCTAAGTTCGTATTTATATGGCATTTATCATACACATTACTATGAATCAGTTGGATTGTATTATTTCTGAAAATGATAAATTTCACTGTAGAATTAAAAAAAGATCCCGATGGTGTGGACGACTTCAAAACTATGTGGAACTATGGAATGGATCAAGAAGTAACTGTTGGTTGTTACAAACTTGACTCAGAGGGAAAAATAGGAGAACTTGTTGGAGTTAACGTGGTGTTTATGGTGACGGATGAAACGAGCAATGACTTTGCCAAGTTTAAGGTACATTTTTGTTTTCTTTAACAATTATTTTATGTACTCTAATTAAGTTTTGTGGATCATCGCATATGGTTAGAGTATAATGGCAAATATTAGCAATACTTATTTATTGTTCTCCCCTTGAATGTTTGATGATTGAAGATTGCCGCATTCAAATTAGGCGGGCCTTTCGGTGATTTTTTTTTTCCTTTATGAAAAAAGTGATAAATTTTTAAGTGCTTAAATAATTTATTAGAAAAAATGGAAAAAGTAACTTTTTTCTTTGCAGGCTGCCTTCAAAAGTGATAATTTTTTGACAATTTGGAAATTTTTCGAATCATTGTTACAAAAATGTGATGTCAAGAAGATATACAATGTAGACAAATACATCAGCTCCATATGCTTATGTGTTAATCCAACATATCGTGGTCAAAAGTTGGGATTTTATATGCTTGATGCAAGGTAAAATGATTTTTATAATTTATTGAGTCTTTTTTTTTTGCAGTAGTTTTTGAGATAAAAATTTTAAATTTTCTCATTGTATTTTTAATGTGTCAATTCATTGATAGTTTAAATTATCTAGTTATCATTGCTGATATGATTATTATTGTATATTTATTATTTTTTAATTAATTTAATTATTTAAGCCTTACATACAGTGCTGCTTAAATGTATAATTTTTATAATATACAATTTATATAATATACGTATGATACTATTTCAAGTAAAAATATATATGATTAGAAGTCTAGTCTACTCATCTCTGAGTCTAGTCTCTGGTTTCGTTTCCCTCCCGCTTCAGTAGACGCCCAGGCGAGAGCACTGGTGCGAACTTTACTTCACGTGGACATACTTCATTTGAAAAAGTAGCGTTTTTCTTTAAAATTCCTAACCTTATATCCACGTAATTACGTGGATTTGGTGCGAATAGACACAGCGATTAAGATAATCATAATTATGATGGCTATTTAGTGATTGTAAATTGTAAACAGCTCTATTTGTATATGGTGCAGTTGCTATTTTTTGCTTT